TCATATCACTGAATATACGTCATACCATAATCAAACATACAATTTAATATTAGTAATTTTCAAACTTCTCAGCAAAAACAGAAGAGATGTAATATAAATGTCATATTCAAAAACAGAAAATTTCAATAGAACTTGAATAGTTGACTACAATGAAAGCTGTGTAGGAGATGAGATCACTAAATGTTGATGAATGTTTTGTTAGGTTAGGAAACTACATACTGATGAAAAGTTGGAATATGAAAAAATGCTGTATCAATGATGATTTTGTCAAGTAAATTTATTTATGAGGGCAAAAACACTTCTTTTTTTAGAAATTAAAGACTGATCAAAAATAATATCCTGCAAAATAATATTTGAACATACCACTTTCATAGAAAATTCTGGAAACATTGAAGATTTTCCATGTTTCAGTTGAATTCTTCTCCTTTCTCAAGAGCTCGCAAATAATGAGAGTTTTCCTTATATGGTAGTCAGAATACCTCCTTTTTCCGTGGAGTGAGCCAATTATTATAAACTATTGTTAAACCACCACCACAGCTTTCTTCAAATTCTACAACAAACATGGCTTCCGATCAAAAAAGCTGTTGAAATTATCATTAGATTAAGTGAAATAAGACGAATAACACAATATACTTCATCTATAGAAGAAAAATACCAGACAAGCAATAACACTTTCACCACTAATTAAAAACAAAACGACAATCGCACAATTTCAGACCATCGTGGTTATGGCCAGTCATGAACATGGGGCATGGGTGGTGCGGCCATCGGCAACGCAAAACTCTTCATAAAAATCCTGACCAATCACAACGATGCTGTGTCTGGTCTGATTCTGTGTTCTGGTCGTGGCGGTAAATTCAAGGGAGGTTGGGAATATGATGGAAATATCAGTGCCTAAAAATTAAAAACTACACGTATCGTGAAGTTTTGATTATCGAGAATATAACGACAAAATTAAAAGTCTATATTATTACGTTCCTACACCCTACTGGGCTAACGCAATACCGCCTAGGCGGTAAATTCGAATCGCAAATGTTGACGGTTATAACTGTAATCATTGTAAGAATATGGTAAGAATACTTTGCATTTCTCCGATCGAATTATATCTGATTGGACGATTAGAATTTTACACATATTTTTTCAAGATCAAAATAATTACATACATTATATCCACAGGAATCGTTTCCCAACGCAAAATTCATTATCAGTTTCTCAATTTATTTTGTATATGCTCCCAAGTGACATCTAAATGACGTCCATTGATGACATCCACCGATACTTATGTCAGTATGAGATACACACATAACGTCATAATGACGTCATTTGAACTGATGTCATTTATTGGTGATATCAAAATCACTTCATTTTTTGGTACCATGACGTATCTGACTCAAATATCACCAAAAATTAACGTCATTATGACGTATACTGGCTACCTGGGTTGTCGACCTTATCTTTGGCATTGAAAAGGAAATGAGATAACCTGGCATGTGGTCTGAATGCTACTACCACATGTTTTTTTGTGAAGAAACCTGTGATTATTTCTGTTCTTTTTCCAAAATTTATTAGCGTTACCCATTTCTTGATTTCTGATTGTTTGACCTGAGGATATATTAATCTGTGAGTGAATTTCCGGCTTTGTTTCCTGACTAACTTTTGGATAGTATCTGCGTTGAAACCATTATTATGACCTATCTGTGTAATTGTATCAATTTCCCTAGCTAGAATGCTAGGGAGGCAATGCGAAAGCTCTGTGCAACATTGAGTTGTAGGCTGCTAATTTATGACTGTCTGGAGGGAAAGAATCGCTTGGGATGGGATACAGACATCACCATCCTAAATAAAAGTTGATGAATGAATGAATATTTGACGGGGTACGTTTTCGGATAGTGTTTGACCAAGTTCGTAAAGAATACGTTCATTTCTGAAAGTATAAATTACATTTATTCAGAACGTTTCTGGTTGGTTAATAGGTATGAAGATCTAAAATGGACCTAATACGTACGTCTCCAGTACGTATGGTTCAAAAGGCATGGTAGCTTGTGTACTGCTAAATTCCTTAATATTAGGATGAATCTCTTCTCCCTGAAGTCAACCTTTTGCCTATCTCGCACTGCTGTTTCCCCTAAAATGCTCACTTATAACTGTTTTTTTTTCTAAGCACGCAGTTGCAGTCTACTCAACTTGACTTGACGAAGGATTTTCTTAAGTAACCAAAGTTAGTGAAATAAAAGTGTACCAACAATGTGCGGGTGAACGATATGTGCTTCACTTCTTACGATAAAAATACATGTCTTGGATGAAAGTTGAAGTGAACTTATATACTGAAAATGAACATCAATACACAAGGTATACGAATGTAGGCTCTCACGGTTGACGTCATTATTTTGAATAGTTTTCGTGGTCCTCTTTGGTTACAATTTCCAAACGTTTCAGCTGCAACTGCCGCAGTCATCTTCAGTGGCTTGGTCGAACCAAAACTCAGTTCATAAGTCAGTTGATATTGGTGTGGAGTCAAAGATTGTTTGTCAGAAATATAAGGTTGTTTGAGTTTACTTCGGGTGATTACATAGTCGATGTGATATTTGTCAGAAAATGAGTCAGTTCAACACCCCATATCTCGTACTCGAACAAATGGGATAAGACTTTTTTTCACGAGATATTCCTGAAAATAGTGTATTTTCATTTTATACCCATAATCTTGCCGAAATTCAGATTAAATAGGTCACGGCAAAGTAGTCCATACACTATAAGCTTTCAGAAAATGTAGAGTTTGAATACTTGATTATGATTCAACTTATTTGCAATTATTTTTCGAAAACAACTGATGATAATCTTGTGATAAAAAAGAAAATTGTTTTGACATTTCTTTGGCATCGTTGGTTCCTTAAAGTGGAGTCATTTCTCAATATATCTCTACATAATAAAAACGTATGAAATGTATCAATTGCAATTTCCCTCGTAATTGATTGTAGATTCTGAACAGTTCACATCATCGCTAATCTTCATTCTTTCTTCCACATTTTCTCCATTTCTTGAGCTTCACACTCTCAGTTTCCAGGAACCTTCGGACATAAGTATAGTGAAATGCATATATTTTACTGATGGAAGGTAGCTTGTGTAATACCTATCTGAAAATGAAACCAGTTGAATAAAGTCATATTTGGAACGTTCACGATGGATATTTTCGAAAAAAGAGGTTTCAGGAAACAGAAAGTGTGAAGCATAAGAAATGAATGAAGAGAAAAAAATGAGAATTAGCGATGATATCATGAATTTTTTAGAGTATTTACTTTGTAGAAAGATTGTGATATGCTCAGACTTCATTTTCTCATATTCCTGTTTTCTGGAGATATTTAGAACGATGAGTCTATTACAAGCTGAGCATTATTTGAAGGTCAGATATTGAGATTGAATATACTATAATTTCAAAATAGTAGGCACTAAACTCTCAGGAAAGCCTGATGTTATAGCCAGCAGTGGTTTGAAACTCTGGCCATTGGAGAAGTCCACAAAAAACTCCGAGTCAGGTTGAGATACGTTGACGATACCTTCATAATATGGATCCATGGGAATACTGAACTTGACGCTTTCCTGCACATTACCAGCGTGATACCTTCCATCACTTTCACAATGGAGAAGGAAGTCCACCATAAATTGCCATTATTAGACGAATTGGTGGAGAGGACCGACACTAAGTGGGAAAACCGAAAACCCTCTCACGCGGGACGGTATCTGTACCACGAATTCAACTACCATCAATTTCTGTAATACGTAAAAAGGTCTCGTGATGGAATTAGACATCATTAAGAATTATCTTGCAATTACAGTAAATGCAAATCCAAGAATTGCGGAAAATCATATATCGGTGAAACTAAATGGCCATTGAAAGTCCGCATTGCCGAGCACAAGAAACTTGCACACTAAGAGAAAAGCAGCAAATCAGGAATAGGAGAGTACGTTTGGACCCATCAACATAACATCAAGTGGTCCCAGGCTGAGATCGTACACAGGGAGAAAATTCAAAGAAGCCGCATACACGTTGTCCAATAATGTATTCAGCCAAGCTAGCGTAAATATACGCAACATGTACCTATAAACTCATAATCAAGTGAAAAATGACCAACTCCTGCCAAACGGTCATCTCCCGCTGAACCGGTGAAGCATAAAGAAGAAAGAGGAGATGAGTGAAATACTGGAATGACCCATAAATTGTCATCTCTTGGAGGAACTAGTCTAGTCATCTCCCGAAGACGATTGTGGATATTAACAATCGTTCTATTTTTTTTAATTGATTTCATTTAACTGTAATTTAATATTAGGGTTTGTTTTTGCTTAATATAATTGTTATTTTGAGCAATTATTTTAAATTTTTCATTTGTATTGTTTTTTTCAGGGATTTCAAATCATTTCATATAATATTAGACAACGGAAGTCCGAACTGTTTTAAAAAAAAATCTGTTTTACAATCTGTGTTTCCGTTAACCAGCTGTTGCACCCCTACGAACGACAACCCTTGAAAGTCGAAACTTTTGCGAGCTAAGGATTAACGAGGTCTTATCTTTTAACGTGTGATTCCTAACACTAATGACATTCATCATGAAACATTGTCAATCACCTTCAAACAAAGTATCTATTTTTTGAAGAATAATGAATTATTTTATCCAAAACTGACAATTTGTACAATTTTTGAGCACTAGGTAAGTATTTTGATAATTATTTTCAGAACCTAGCTTATATTATTTTTTTTTTTGTCGTTGAAGTTATTCCATAGTTGGCTTTAAACCGTACATGTTCCTGGCCAACTCTGTAGCCTGAATGACTACAGGTTACGCATTGTTGATACACCCTGTATGATCATTGCAGTTGACTAGAGCATGATAAATCCGGACGCGCTAGCTTGGCAATATTACAGAAATGAGCCTTAATGGATGTTGAGTATGAATACAATTTGCATTTTTCATGATATGAAAAAGTATTTAATCGTTGCATTGATTCACCTTGGTGGTGGTGGAGTAGGACTGATCCATGTGGAAGTCGTCGGTCTGACCTGTTCTTCAGGAGGTGTACGTTCTCTCAATTGAATGTCAGTTGGACTCCTGAAAAATATATTTTAATGATATCTATCAAAAAAATTTCATTCCAGTTTACTCAGAGGAAGGGGTGACCCATACTCCATCGTCGTCCATTAGGAATTCGTTCCTGAAATAAAGTGAATCTGTTAATAGAATAGAAAAAAATCGGCTCAGAAGATTATATTCCGCTGGTGATAATAACCCAATGAGCGAAATGTGCCTCGGGATAGTGCTTCAGTTTCGGTGTCAGTGTTTTAATTTGATTTTTCTCACTGTGGAATGCAAAATTCGCTTTTTGTCTACTGTATGCGGTTGGATAACACTAACACGCATGCTCATGACTTACTTTTTCTCTCGGTAACCTAGCGACGAATTGTTTATCAGACTATCTAGGACAGCTTGAAATACGTGACGACGGTTATATTTTTAATCTGTGATTGAAAAACGATAAATCAAAATAAAAATTAATGTAGAAGATTCTCTAGTAACAGTGAATTGGATTGATCGAACTTTTCATCCCACAGTGAGAAAAAATCGTATACGCACCACGAGTGAAAAGTACGGCATCCTGCCCCGAGATTTCGCCACCCTCGCCTTCGGAGCTACTAGCAGGAGCCAACCGCACATTTGTGATTTCCGCTGATAGATCTTGTGTTTACAAGAAAATCATCAAAATCACCACGGAAGCAGCAATAGCTACCTGCGTGACATCCGGGTCCAGGAATTTATACAAATATGAAAGCATGTGAGTGTCTTGATATAGAAATAGAAGTTAATAATCGGACATAGCACTAAAACCACAAATGTGCGGTTGACTCCTGCTGGTGGCTCCGTGCATATGGTAACCAAGTGTTACCCCTCGGTACACTTGGCTGCACCATACTGATGATGGGACAAAAGCCCGAAACACGTGTCTAATGTTGATGAAAATGTGGAAAAAACGGCATTTTTATCACTACTACATTCCTCAATTTCTCTCGTGCGTTTTATGGTTCAAATAACAACAGCAGATAAGTGTACAAAAAGAATTTAGGCAAACGTTCATTGATTCAGTTCGGTTGCTTTTGAAATTATTTCAACTTTACTGTAAAAATGGTTTATTCCATTCCTGAACGAGTTGAAATTGTTAAAGTTCATTATCAACATAATAGTTGTGCCAGACTTACTGCTCGCCTCTTTAATAAAAGTTATCCCGGGAGAAATGTGAATGATTCGTACGTTGCCAAGTTAGTCCAAAAGTTTGTCGATACCGGATCTGTCTGTAATGCGAAGCACCACCCACGGAAACCGATCAGAAATGAAGTAGTGGGAGTCGCTGTTTTGGGACATGTTGAATTGGATCATACTCAAAGTACCCGTCAGCTTGCTGCAGCCTCAGGTGTCTCCCGTTCGTCCATAATACGAATATTAAAAGCCTATAAATTTCATCCGTACAAAATTAAATTAGTACAGGAACTCAATGAAGATGATCCTGATAAAAGGCTGCAGATTTGTGAACAACTGAGCCAGCTACTAATTGATGATCCGCACCTATCATTCAACACGTGCTTTTCCGATGAGAGTACATTTTTTTTGAATGGAGCTGTGAATAGGCATAATTGCCGTTACTGGGATGACAGTAACCCACACTTATTCCGAAAGGTCCATACCCAGTACCCTCAAAAAATCAATGTCTGTTGTGGCATATTAGGTAGTCATATCGTAGGGCCACTTTTTATTCCTGGGAATTTAACTGGTAAGGTCTACCTGAACTTGGTTGAAGATACAATTGATCCTCTCATAACAGAAATAATTGAAAATGACCAAAATCATAATGATGATCGGCTTCATTTCCAGCAAGATGGAACCCCTCCTCACTATGTTGCTCCGGTAAGAGAGTTTTTAGATGACCGGTTTCCTGGACGGTGGATTGGAAGGAGATGCCCCATCGAATGGCCTGCCAGGTCACCTGATTTATCGCCTTTAGACTTTTTCCTTTGGGGACACTTGAAAAATAAATGTTTTGCTACGCAGCCCGCGTCCATAGAAGATCGTCGCCAACGAATTACAGCAGAGTGCAGAAGTATAACACCTGATATGCTACAGAATGTTAGGAATAGATTTGTATTATTTTATGGGAGCAAATGGGTCACATTTTCAGCACTTGATGAAGTAGGATTCTACTAAGTCAATTACACATTTCAAAGTACTGGGTTGTAGTTGTTTTTCTTCATAATACCTACATGTTTGAGTGGAATACAGCAAATTAGGTATCATTGGAAAGATAATTTTGTGCCCTTTCAAATGACATATCACTCGACCCCAGTTTCCATTTAAAATTTTAGGGATGTTACTCACCCTCGTGAGGGAGTTGAAGGCACAGGTAGAAAAATACATCTAAAATATGTCCCCCTCAAAAGCAAAATTGACCTGTCCGAGCATTTTTGCGTTAAGTTACAAAAAAAGGAGAAAAACAAGGTGCATACTTTTCGTTGGACCACTCTGTATTTATAAAATCTAAAAAAGTTAATGCAGTCAAGCTGCTGGAAAATAATTCCATCGTCAGTACCGGGCAGGCGGTCCTCGATTGAAGACAAAATGAGAAAAAACCAAGAAAGTACTTGATAAAAATAGCTGCGTAACTGCAATCTGTATACAAAGAAAGAAGAAAGAAAGCATTCAATAAATGGGAAAGTAGAAATCCAAATCCAGCCCCAATTTTTTTGAAATATTCCATCTGTAAATTAACCTGTGGTGGAATTTTTACCATCATATTCTATATGACAAACACGATTAGAATATATAAGAAATATCCAGAATTACATTTGACTGAATGACCATATCATTCAATATTATTTTAATTCAGTTTCAATGCCTAGCACCAATAAATAATAGTTTCGTATTCGATCATGACTGCTTTATTTCTGAACAGTTTACTTCATAGATTTTCATTGATATCATTGAAATGAAACGCTCTAGTTGAGTTCTCAGCACTGACTAACTTTATTTTCTTTGTAGAGCATTATTACAAGATTGCGGAGGATAGTGTTCATAGCCGACAATAGATGGCGCTACAACATATAATTCGGGCTTTTCCAACACATATCTATAATGCAAAACGAAATATCAACAATTTACCTCATTTGAGAACTGGTAATTGTGACTGGTAATAGACCGACTTTTGATTTTAAATCTCCTTAAAAAAACTGTATTCCGTCGTATACAATGTCACAGCCTATTTGCTACACAGTGTTAATGATATATTTTTCACATTCATGGGTAAAAATTGTCAAATGCCAAATGTCACTATTGTTCAGTGGGTTAATTTTGGAATAAACTTGATGAGTCATGTTCAAAAAAACTTTTAACGACTCGAATATAACATGAATATTTTTCACAATATTTGTGTTTTGTTTTCATCATGACAATATATACGGCACTAAGTATGGTATCTAATATTATCTAGTTGATCCAGAGTGATGAAAAATATGACAGAAAAGTTGGGGTACTGAACAATTCTTGTGAATGAGAAATACTGTCGTATATATTTCTTTTTTGTATCTCACGGCTCTACGAGTAAATATATCTTAAATTTTGTGTCCATAAACAATGGAAGTCATCATGAATCCCAGAATATATATATATGTAGCAATAAATCTGGATTGACTCTAATGACCACGCAATGGCCGGTTCCTTGAGAACAATGAAAAATTCAACAGCTTCCTCTGAGAGACATAAATACAAGCTCACGTTTGTCACGATATTTCTTTCTGAAAGGAGCAAATACCACCGAGGCGCAAGGTAATTATTGACCCAGTTAGCTGGTTTTCTTACTGAAAAGTCTTCTTTGTTTGTGGATGAATTGAGATTGATTCACACTTTCTTTCAGCCTAATTTCGAACACGGGTTCATTTATTTTGATCAATTAGGAACTCTGAGCCACATTTCAAGATTGATGATGCATTAAAGAGAAGATTTCAGATTGCGAATCATTTATAAAACAGGTGAATTAACAATAGTTTTTCTTATTCACATAACTAATTGGTTAATTGGAATTTTAGGGAAGAAAGGTTTTGAGAAAGAAATTTTTTGGCTTTCTACTTCTCCATCTTTATACAAAAAATGTGGCTGGGATTTGATCAAATAAGCGAATGAATGTTATTACGTAATGTCATCGATGACACAAATAGATTGAACTCATTCGTGCAATGAAGTCGTAAGTTTATGAATGAATTGAGTGCTTTTTTCTCATATTATCCAGATTTGGTGCTGAAAAGCCAATGAGGCAAGTGCCTTACGGCAAAACATTGGATATCTACCAGTGAGGATGACAGTGTTCCATATAAGTGACATTTCATCTCTTTCCTTCACTATATTTTGAAGTAATCCTGTGAATGATGTATGATTCAACTCCATAACGAATGTTTGGAATACAAACTGAATACATATAATTCAGGTTCCATATGAAAGTATTTGTTTCGAAAGTATTTTTCTTTCGTGTGATTCAAAGGTTATATGAAAATAGCTGTTTCAATAGGGCTGTCTCTTCCAGTCTGTGTCTGAGAGTTACTTCTTTACATGATCTACACATCTTCGTAATGAAGAGTTAATTTTTGAAAATAATGTCTTCCTTCCTATTTATGTAAGATTTCCACATAATTTTAAGTGAAGGTCGAGAAATAGAAAGTCAAAATACTTCTTTTTCAAAAATTGATCTGTTTTGAAAATATCCACCTTTCAATTTAAACAAGATACCTATGGTGGGATTGAATCAAATGGGCGAATGAATGTCATTACGTAGGTACTGACATCGATGATAGTGATTTCATGAATGATGAAGTGGCAAAAAGGCAAGTGTCTGATTCCGAAATATCGATGTCCACCATTGAGGTTGATAGTATTCCATGTAAGTGAATTTTCCCCTTTCTTATATCTCATATTTTCTAGCAATCCTGTTAATAATATCTGGTTCAATTCCATAATAACTGTTTGTAGTACAAATTCGAAAGTATTTTCCTTTCATATAATTGAATGTTTAGGAGTATATAAAAGTAGTTGTTTCTAGAAGCTTTGTTCCAATTTGTGTATGAAAGTCACTCATGTGCACGATTTATACAACTACGTAGAGAGTTCATTATGGAATTGATTGCGTTCTTCGTTTCTTAGAAAGATTTCTAATTTTTTTTTCAAGAGGTGGAGAAGAAGAGAGCCAAAAATTTCCTTTTCTTATCAATAAGTCATATGTTCGAATGATTATCAATTATCGAGATGAATATGGGATAAAGAAAATAACTATTGTCTGATTTCTACTGATTTTATTTGTTACGACCTGTTTCGGTTTGTTAAACTATTCTCAAATAAGTTTACTTGAGAATGGCTCAACAAAACTAAGCCGGTCTTAACAAATAGAAAACTTGGTAGTAATCAGACAAAAAATATTTATTTCATTCTGTATTCAAGATGAGTTTCTAAAAAATGAATAGATCATCATCAGTACAAATTGTCGAGATATTATAGCGGGATTGGGTTTGTATTTATCACGATTCATGAGGAAATCTTATGAATGGAATGGAAATCTTATGAATAATTTTCAATAAATCCAAGATAATCACCTTCAGTGCTGACTCAGGTTTGATTATACATATTTTTTATGCACCCGTAGACATTGTTGATTTCGTGACGATTCAGAAGTTTTGTTCCTTTCAATGTCATGTGTTTTCGGAACTTGTTATTTCAATAAATTCTACCGTGTTGGCGTGTATACTTATTTGAACATTGATGATGTTATTTCTTTCCAAATTTCAACTGATTGCTTCATTTCAGAATATTACTATATGATGTTGTTGAGAGATTTGTGGCCAAATCTTCTCTACTAATTAAAACTGAACCAAAGGGTTGTCGAAACAGCCCGAAAAATTAACCAGGTAATTCGATTCAGATATTTAGGCCCCAAAAATGAGCCCCAAAGTGGTTGACCTGAAGCAATCCAGAACGGGGATTTGAAGACCCTTGTGGAGACTGACACATCACAAATGATGCGTGGGATGGCGAAAGAACTGGACTTCAGTTCCCATTCAGATTTTGATGGTTGAAAACTCGAAAAGTGAGTTGACCATGATTTGGACTATTTACAGAAATTGCCACGTTATGGGGTCTGTTCTTTTTGCCTTTGCGCAACCGAATCGATCCTTTTTTGGATCGGATCGTTACATGTTACGAAAAGAACATGGTTACTGTATGGTGGTCAGCGGCTTGTGTCATTCATTATAGCGCTATGCAACCGGACCATACTATCACAGCAGAGTCATATTGTGAAGAAATCGACAATAAGTACTGAAAATTGCGTCAGCAGGAAAAGTCAGATGCTGAATATTTGGAAAACCTTCAAAATTTCAAATTGTCAATATGGTTTTCTGATATTTCACTCAATTATGGAATAGTGCTATTGAGAAACAGGTCTGTTGTACTTGATCTGTTCAAGGTCTTCAATAGTGTTTTGTATGAGGGTTAACTAACCAAAGAACAGAATTATGGGTGACCAAATTGTTCTTGGCTATCCGCTTTCTTACTAGAAGCTATTGCTCTTCATGCAAGCGGATATCCAAATATTTACAACATCGGATATTACTCAGGATGTATAAACCTCTGAAGCAGCTAGCAACTCGCACGTTCGAAACGTCAGGAAGAAATTCCAAAAATTGACAGCCGTCAAACCCAAAAAATAGTGACACTAATTACAATTGATCTTTCTTTTGAAGAACGACGACCATGTGAAATCAACTTACCAATTGCTCTCAGAGTATTCTGGAGACACTCTTGCAGCACAAAAAACCTTGGCTTTTGAAAGCATTCAATCCATTGATTTTCCAGGTGAAGTGAGCTCGAATCGAAGCCAATGAAATCATTATGGCCCGCCGATATTCTGCCGTACGTACCAAAACGTAGAAATTTCTCCATCCTCGCATTCACCTCAAGGATGTTTTGTGTGAAATGTGAAGATAATAAGCTTGATGTGCTTCTCACTGACCATACGAGTGAAACCAAGAGAAAGCGTGTGAAAAATCTAGACTCTTCCTTGAAACTGTGTAAGTTCTACAGAATCATTCTCGAATTGACAATTTTGACCATTTTGAGAAATCTAGTTCCGATTTTTTGAACAACAAGTAGGATCTCCATCGTGATCAACAGTAATTTTTTCAACGTCTCACATAATTATAGTATTTTAACTCACCTGTGTGAAGATGAAGGTGTGACATCATCAACTTCTCTATAATGATCTATCAACTTCATAACGACCGGGGCTATTGTCAGGAGAAGAAGAATGGAAAAGAAACTGAGCAGCACTATTCCTGACTGAAAATGAAATTTTATTGGATTCACTAAATACTAGTCTAAGTAGATTTCGAAAATTTTCATTATTAGGTAACTGGATTTTTCACAAATATTCCAAGAAAATGAAGTGCGAAACTTTGTGTTAATATTTTGAAGTAATAATAATAATAATATAACTATATTCACGAAAGATGAATACAAATACAGATACAAATAAGTTACAACATAGAATGAGTGAATAAAGCATTTGTTTATCATAGAAATTGACATATATGTATGAATGGTATTATGAACAAAAAACATATGCATGTAACATTTAGAAAAAAATGACAAAAATTAAAAATGTTATAAAAAATTATGAAATGTGAAAATTGTAACAAATTAAGAATGCATGTGTATATAAATAAAATAATTCGAACATCATGAAAAATAAACAATTCAATAATAATAATAACTTTGTTCACTCAACAGATAGCTATGCAGAATACAAAATATAAATACATTTTAAAATAATTATTAAATGAATAAGACAGTAAAAAACGATAAGTACCCAAGTACTTGTTTCGCTTAGGTATATGATCATGATAATAAAATTTCATTATAATAACATTTCAATAAAGTAATATAATAAAAAAAATGCAGTGAGTAAGGAGAATTTCATTTGCGAAAGATGCGTTAATCTCAGTCGTTAAAGTTGTGTCAAGTCCTGGTAAGTATTTGAAGTCTTAGTTCAGCATTTGTACAAAATATCTCCCACGTTCGAGTATATATACCCCCAGCTTTTTTTTGAACAAATGCTTATTAATAATTTTTTTATTGTTTCTGGTACCGAATTATAAAATTTTAACGAAACATATGAAAAGGCTTGTTGAGAAATTGATTTCTTTAGAATGTAGGTGAATACATTTCGATTTCATGTATTGTATTCGAGTTCTGGCTTAGCTGGTTCTGAGTTACAGAAATGATATCTGACGTTTAAACACAAGAAATATAGTTGGCCAATATCAAAAAAATTTGACTCTTTATATAGGCTATCGGAAATCGGAAGAAAATCTTAGGGGTTTATTTAGAATTAGCCGAATGAATCTATTTAGGATCATTTCCAAAGGATTCAAATATATCTTAGATGCGTTTCCACAAACCGTAATAGCGTATCACAAGTGACTCTCAACAAGAAAATAGTACAGTTTTTTCAATTCGGTGATGGGCAAACATTTTTCAAGAGTTTTGAATTGATAAATAATTTTAAGCAGTTTTTCAATAACAAAGTTGATGTGGGAGTTCCACCTCAAGTTATTATCGAGTTACACGCCTAGATATTCAATGCTTCTTACAGATTCAATATATAATGTTTTTTCAGGTAAGTTTACTACAATTTGATGGAAAGGTGCAGCCCCGGATTCATTGCAACTGAAGGTGATAAATTCAGTTTTTTCCGGATTGACAGTTAACAGTTTTTGGCAAAACCAGTCATTTATCAGAATACAATATTTTTCTACCATGTTTTTGAATTCGTCCCAAGTATTCGCCTGATAAAATATTTTAGTATCATCGGCATATCCAATTATTCTTTCTGCACTGTTCAGTTCAAACACATAGTTGACATAAAGGTTGAAAAGAACAGGACCAAGAACGGTACCTCGAGGTACACCACTCAGGTCATCACCTTTTTTACTACTTGTTTTCTTTTTTCTAAATAACTACTCAGAATATTGAGACATTTTCCTCGAATTCCTTTCCTTTCTAATATTTGTACCAATATAAGGTGGTCCACAGTATCGAAGGCCTTGCTTAGGTCATTGAAGAGGCATAAACAAGGCTTTCCATTTTCTAGGGCTTTATGAATTTCATTAGTTAACTCCAATAGAACATCTTCTGTGGAAGTTCTTTCGTTGAAACCACCAAATTTTTTTTCAGAAATTAAATGATATTTGTTAATAAAGTTCACTAATCTTGCTTTTATGATTTTTTCCGGGATTATAGATGAGTGGTTGATCAGAGATTTTGTTCTATAATTATTCACAGAGGTTTCGTCCCCGTTTTTATTGGGCACACTTGGGGACTCCTTGAACACATCAGGCCAAACTTCCTTCCTAAGGCAGGTGTTAATTATATATTTCAGAGGTTCAAGTATATCATTTGCAATTGACTTGATCACTTCGGCCCTGATTCCATCGGCTCCCGGTGACCTGTTGTTTTTCAGTTGATGGATGATATTCAAAATTTCCTCATTATCAGCTTCTCTCAATATAATTGAATTTGATATTGTCACTGATTTTATTTGAAAATTAGGATTTTTTATTATTTCTTCTGATTAAACCTTACCCATTTCAATAAATTCAGAATTGAACTCATTGGCAATTTCGGTTTTGTTAATTAATATTTCGCCGCGATAATTCTTTATTGGCCCTATGACTTTAGTTTTTATTTTTTCACAAGTAAGTTTTTGAACAATGTTCCATAACTGTTTCGGGTTTTGTTCATTCATTTGAATTTAATTTTTGTAATATTTTTGTTTGAATATTACTGGAGTTTTTTCCCAACACCAAATCGTTATTTTCAACACTTCGACACGTGTTTCGATCACCAAGTGATCATCTTCAAAGAGGAAGATTAAAACTAGAAACTGATGCGAGCTAACCCTATTTATGCTATAAAGGTAACCCATACAGGTAAACCATCCAGGCGTACCAACCATACAGGTATACCAACCAAAATTGATTTTACAAGTTTGCCTTACCTATTATTTTACAATATATGTTTATATAAAACAATTTTCAGCTAAAAATTAATTTCACAATATTGCCTATCCAAATTTATTTTTGCAATGTGTCCTTATGTAGTAATCAGTGAACCCAACAACATTATTTTATTTTATTTTAACAAGCTATATAGTATGCTCTTTGGTATAGGTCCGTCATCGTTATTCATAATATTATTGTGTTTACTTATTTCTACACTATCATAGGCATCTAGTTTCCTGTTGTTGTTAACTTGTCTAACTAATCTTAATGAACTGAAGTCTATAGAATGGTTTTGTTGCTGCTGATTTTTCAGGTCTTCCATATTTTAAGTGTACTGTGTGTTCCTTATATCTCACTTTAATAGATCTTTCTGTCTGTCCATAATATTTTGCATCGCAGTAAGGACTGCGATGTTTACCTGTATGGGTTACCTTTATAGCATAAATAGGGTTAGCTCGCATCAGTTTCTAGTTTTAATCTTCCTCTTTGAAGATGATCACTTGGTGATCGAAACGCGTGTCGAGGTGTTAAAAATAACGATTTGGTGTTGGGAAAAAACTCCAGTGATATTCATTACTACACCAAGGGTTCCAAACAGTGCATCATAAGTATATTTTTATTTGAGTATAGATATTAAGTTCATTAATTTATTTTTAAAATCAGTGTAATTACTTTTAAGCAAAATGTTATGTGGTTGTTTCAAAGTTCCTTTAAACATTTTATTTTTTTTTATTTACCAATTTCAATAGCGAATCTGTCATCCATGGTTAAATTTTTGTGTTTCTTCTGAATACTTTTTTGTGTCTGTGCTCGATTTTATAATTTTCATTAAGAGTATGAGTGAATTTATTTGCGACAATATTAGGATTTGTTTGTTCATAAATATTATCCCAAATTGTGCTCTCTAAAAATGGTATAGAGTTTATTGTGATTGATGTACCTAACAGTTTTGATATCTTTATTATTCTGTTGTTTTCTAAAATATTTGTTCATAACAACTTGCAGAATAACGGTTGCATGATCAGTTATAATCGTGTCGAGAACTATGAAATGGAATATTGAAATTTGCCTTTCTGTGATCTGATTTGGAGCATTTATGGAATTATATCAACAGTTCCTCTAAAGTTTCTCAATTATCCAAAGGAACAATTGTAGCCTACGTGACTTTTTGCGCTTCTTCTTCCATCCATTTTTAGATGGCATCTATTCCAACAATCTTGTTGCTTCTACGTGTTCAGTCTCAGATCTTGTATGAATCTCAAATATTCAACTTTCTTCTCCTGTTGCATCCCTGCATTTCAAACTTTCAGAGTTCTCAGTCCCCCTGTTTGATAATCTTTCTCAATGTTGAATAAGTAGTTTGTCTGAAGTGTTCAATGCGAATGAGATAAGACTGATGGGGCTCAACGCCTTTGTCGGATCTTTTCTCTGTTTGCGAAAGTTGGTTTATTTTCTACGTCTGTTGTTTGACATTAGGAACTGTGGTAAATTCCCACTTAATCGTCCCACCCGGTCATATCGTGATCTGTCTACTTTTCGGACTCGAACTAGCTTTTTCTCATTCTTGATTGGTGGTAGTTCATGAAGAAGGTACACTGATCCACTGATGATTTTCCAAGATCCTCCCTGATTGATTGGTTTCAATTCGACCAGAATGTCTGTCCTAAAATGATATCAATTTCCTACATACCCACGATGTTAATTCAGGAGTAATATCAAACTTATCTATAAACTTCATAGGATTTCACACGTACGATTTCACAAGTTTTCTACGGTTAAAAAAGGTCACAGACAGAGTTCTCCGCATTTTCTTCATACTTGTAGTCTACTCAGTTTAGACGAGGATGAATGCAAAACTAAGAATTCTGAGAAATCATGTGATATCCTATAGGGTTTGTTGGCGATACCTGAACAATTGGCACAGAATGCACCTATTGGAATCAACTCAATTCTCAGATGCCCATCATCCATGGATCTATATATCCCTTTCTCAATGAAACGAACTTCTAACGGCAAACCTTGGTTCAACAAATAATGTGAGCAAGCTGTCACCTACAAAAATCTTGCGTTACGACATTGGCGCGAAAGTCTCAGTGCCATTTATGCTGAGTTTGTAGCAACAGCTGAAGCTGTTAATCAAAACTTTACCAAATACACAATTCCACCACTAACACAAGCGAATGGTTTAGTTGCAACAACAACCATGGAAAAAGAAAATCTACTAGCTGAACAATTTGGGTCCCACTCCACGTTTGATTTTCTTTCCAAATAACTATAGACCAGTCGTTTTTCTATCGGTGATATAAAAAATCATTGAGAAAGCCATAAACCTTAAATATTCG